TCTGGTATCATAAGTTTCTCACACAAAAAACTGATTTGAACGACATTATATAGTTTTCTTTCTCACTAAAACTTATTTTCGCAACGGATGTTCTTCTTTTCGAAATAAATACTCAAAATTTGCAAAAATGTCAAAATCGCAGTTTGAGCAGTCATTTCGCATTTATAATTTGGCCACATGTTCCAAAGTTCACAAACAAACATAGTAAAAACTATATATTTGAATCTATGAAACTATGAATCTAGAAAAAATCGGAGGACTTTTAGGAAGGTGGAATGACTTTAAGAAAGGTTGAAGGGTTTAAGAAGATGACCTTGATCTGAAATATTACCAGAGAAAGTCCTACCATTATATGTTGCATCACATTGACATGGTTATTCTTTAGTTACATTAATCCTTTCGTTGCACAGGTGTTGATATGCGATATTGGAGTCCTTCAAAATGTTTTAAGTGTTAAGACTTAGTTGATACGAATCATCGGAGATCATGCAGTTCCCTCAATTCTTTTCCATCGTTATTTTTATTTTCTTAAAAAGGTAAAAGATACTAAAGGGATATTTAATCTCATAACTCGAAAACAAACTGGCAATGCCATTGGGAAAAACGAAAAACTACGAAAAGAAAAACAACAGTTCAAAAAAACAGCATAGAAAACTAAAGACTGAGCAACACACACCCGACCAAACACCGGGGTTGATGTCAGGTGCTCCGGAAGGGTAAGTAGATCGTGCTCCACATGCTGAAGGATTAATGGATTAATAAAATTTGAACTTTGGTAAATTACTGTTGCCTCTAATGCATCCCTCTTCAAATTGGATCTGTTCTAAGCCTTTGCTTATACTTATTCTCAATGTTGGATAATTTCCAGGTTTCCTAAATTTTATCTAGAGCACCTTTGATGAGAAAGAAAAATTGTGCATTAATTCAATTTCTGAACCTTGTAATAATGTGAACATGAATGAGTTATATGTTAGGTGTTGAATTCTTTCGGATTCTTTCGGATTAACAGATATTTGCTGTTGTATCCAGGTCAGTGATTCGATCGGTCATATTATTAAATTATCTATTGGTTAGTATCAATGATCGAAGACAATACAATAAACAATAGTTGAAACATGAGGGCAGACAAAAAAAAATATCACCCTCATTTGTTTAATGAACCAACTTTTTGTGACGGAAACAATTTGTTACAGACACAGGAGTGTAAAGATGTATAGAAAGCTAATTGACAGCTTTATATGCTTTTAAACAAACGGATGAGACAGGGTGAAAATTATTATCACGGATGTGTCTTGTCTATAGTCTCTAGAGAGGTCAGGATAAGGACATTGTGTTTTCCTGTAAGCACCAGTCAGTACGTTGGATCAGAAGTCTTGTATAAATCTTTTAAGCTCAAGGCTGTTTACCTTTATTTACCGATTTTTTTACAATTCTTACTGTGTCATTAGTTCATTTGTATCTGAATATCTTCATGACTTTTAAATATCAACTGAACAAATCAAGATATATATGTGCTAGCATGTACAATGTTCTGATGAATGCATTCTACTTTGAAGGATTGATTTACTAATGTGTGAGAAGTATATGTTGCCTTAAAATATGCCTTTAAGAAATCCTCGTCAATGGTTGGGTTTTAAGGATTCTTTTTCTCCTAGCATTTCAGTGTTTTTATGCAAATTTGGAAATTAGGTGTTGATGGAAGATGTTTGATAGTCTCTTTTTGAATACTAGTATTTTTTTCATTTGTTTTATAGACTGGCAATTAAGTGCTTTACATATTATTATGTATTTACTTGTCTACTGTAGATAATTATTGTGTATGTCTTTGATTATCAAATACTAACTATGAAAAGTTATCTCACTTTTAAACCATGAAAGGAAACTTTTCATGTAAAATAAAAAGTCTTTAATACTTCTTTTCAACAGAAGATCCTTCGGAGTGCTTTTCGAAACCATGTAATCCTTTACAATATTTTTATAACTTACTATTTGGATTAAGATTTGTCAGTTGTTGAAGGCCTTACAGTGACCTGTAGTTGTACACATCATTTCTATTTCTTCTTTGACGGATAGTTTTTTCTTTAGCTCATATAGAATTTTAGTTCACATGTATGCATTGGTTCAATCTAAAATGACAATAAAATTTCCAATAAAATCACCTTTAAGAGGCGTATACTAAAAGATGCCAAAGACAAATATTATTTTTCTTTCTTTCATAATACTGTTTTCATTAGGAAAAAAAAAACATTTAATCAACACATATTTAACTAACATATTTATACAAAAGTAACTAATAAAAAAACATTTATCCTATCTAAACATTCATGCCAATAACTTATTAAAATACTATAATATTGTTTTCTATTAACTATTTTCGTTCATTATCTCTTATCTGATTCTTATCATAGTGGAATCTGCAGATGTCGTGATTGACGATTTCTAAATTACATTAGATAACTTGAATGCATAAAAATATGTGGGTTAATTGCAAGTAACAAGAATCATGATTTATCAAAACTTTAGAAATTACAAAAATAAATGAAGCTGAATAAAACTATAATAGCAATTTGTACAAGTATTGTTTACCGATCTTTAGCGATTGTTGTCGATGTTTACCGAAGTCATTGTTTCCTTTGTAATTGAAGATCCCCATAACAAATCAAAACATTCTTATTGCAAATTTAATTTCTGACATTCATGGGGTATTTTTACTATAGAATTTTAGATTGTGTATCTATAGTATACAACTAGTCATAAATCACTCGTCAAAACAATAGGCCAATATTTAGCAAACACAAATAGTATTTGGAATTTAGGTATTAATAATAGAAATTGACAATAATGTTTGCAAACTCTTTATCTAATGTTCTCTCTTATTGATCTCCATGGATTTCTTTTCATTGTGGCAAAAATTGCTATTCAAACGTGTTTTATATAAAATGGGGCACAATAGGGAGAAATGGAGTAATACGATAATAAAAATAGAAAGAGAAAAGTATTTCAATAAACATTTTTTAACAATAAATTTTATATTAAATCTCCATTTTTAAGATTTAATTTTTCCAAATAAATGTATGATTTAACGACACTCATGACAAAGGTATTAATATATGATTTATACTTAAGCGGAGGCATGTTATATATGTTAAACAGATACTAACATGTGAATATACTGGCTATTTGGCGAACAAAGTTAATACTCTTTACGTTCAAGACACATTTTTCATATTTTCCATTGTCTACTTAAAATCAAATCAATTATTTACCATTGTTAACACAAGATATTGGAGGTAGCTGTAACATTGCATGGAAAACTTTTTGATATCCAACTTTAAATAAGCGGTAGATGGTGATGTTTCCAACTCAATGGGTTAGTCATACTATGTTATTTAATCATACAATAACTTTTACCTGACAAAATATGATAACAATAATTTTCAATAGAAAATTGATTTCTGACATGCAAAACTGATATCTTGTATATGATATCCTGCTGTGTACCTCAAACACCGACATAACTAGTTTGCACACTCCATACTGGTTAACCAGAGATTTAAAAAAAAGTCTCATTGTATTAAAAGTTCATTAGTTGTTCAACAATAAATAATTAATTAATTAACATGTTTTACAGTTACCTAAACATCAACTTTAGATGACGCAACTGTATCCCGCCATCATAACTGGTCTAGATCATGGAAGTGTTTATTGATATGTCTTATAATATAGCAGTATTAAACATTTTAATCACCCTGGACATGCGATGCATGTTAACGCCATATTAAATTTTCATCAACAAGAATAATGCTTCCTCTGGTTCATTACCTGATGCCTTTCATTTTACTAAATTTGCATGTCCATTGCTGCACATGACATTTACGGAGGATGTTGTTTCAGTGCACGGAAATTGATCTCGTTTTATATTCTTGTACTTTTTGTTCATTAGCATTGAAATCTAAAAACAATTTTACTTGTCTACCGACAATAAACACTACTACTAAAGGTTTATAATCTGAGCATTCAAATTGCATATCAAACATTTTTGTTCATTGTTAAATGATTTATAAGCTCTTAATTTCGTAAATAGTACATTATACTTCCTTCACTGTTAATGCATGAGTTAAATAAACTCATCATAGGTAGCATGCTTAAAATATTGTACGCCAGACGCGCATTTCGTCTTTAAAAAGTAAAATAACAAAATACTGAACGGAAAGTCCCTAATCAAATGGCAAAATCAAAAGCTCAAACACATAAAACGAATTGAAAACAACTGTCACATTCCTGACTTGGTACATGCATTTCCTGATGTAGAAAATGGTGGATTAAAACTAGTTTTATAGCTAGCTAAACCTCTAACCTGTATGATAGTTGCATAGAATTCCCAAAACACTTATCGGTGATGATCGAATCAAAACCGTTAAAAAGGCCAAATAAAGTACAAAGTTGACGATTTACAGTCTGTACAAGAATATAAAGTATCTACTATCTGTCATGCAGGATCTTTGTGAACTAGACTTGTAGTATTTTGAGAGTTTTCCATCGAATGCGCAAACATATACTAAGCGAAAAGAATTGTGTTAGCGCAAGGTATTCTGTCCTTCAACCCATCGTTGTATATATTGATATATATTTAAAATTTAGCATTAGTTTCATAATAAAATAGGCATGTTATGTCTAGATGTATTCAATGTGTTTTTCTGTTGAAAAAAAAAATAATCATCGAACTTCATAAGAATGTTCTTTCTTAAAAATGAATGGCTTGCATTCATTACACAATACGAAGCTTTCACATATGGATGCAAACATACTTAAATGCTGTATGTTACATATTACCCCATATATGTCTATCTGTAAGTCAATTGTCTCTGTGACGCATTTGCAATATTATTTTTACTCAAACGGACTTTTTTTTCCGAAATGTTATACCTGTATGAACTTAAAAAAATATCGAAGAATTCTAGTTTGTTTTGTTGATTTTTAATTTTCTTTTATCTTTTCAGGCTTGACAGTGTCCTCGGGAGCTTCGCCACATATGCAAGATTAAAAGGTCGTTACGATGACGACTGGATCGATAGGTTAAATCATTTATACACGACTATAATTTTCATCATTTTTACCATTGTTGTTAGTACAAAGCAGTATGTTGGCGAGCCAATTCACTGCTGGTGTCCTGCTGAATTTAAGGAATCAATGGTTGATTACACTAACAATGTATGTTGGATATCCAATACATACTACGTCCATATTGACAAGGATATTCCGAAGTACAATCACGCGAGATATGAAAGCGAGATTACATACTATCAATGGGTTCCGATGATCTTGTTGTTTCAAGCCTTGTTGTTTAAGGTCCCCTGTATTATGTGGAGAATTTTAACAGCGTCAGCCGGTGTCAATTTGGATAAAATAGTCACCCTTGCAGCGGAAACACAGTATATTTCTCCAGATGATAGGGAACGAACTATAAAACATATAGTACGTTACATGGACAGATGGTTGGAAAATGCACGTGAATATAGATCCGGGTGTTTTATACGCTTACGTCAAACTATTTCAAAATATTGTTGTATAGTATGTGGCAAAAGATATGGAAATTACCTTGTCACCATATATATGTTTATTAAGTTGCTATACATGTCGAATGCTATTGGACAGTTATTCATTTTGAATGAATTTCTAGGAACAAATTACAACGCATATGGACTTGAAGTATTAAGCCATCTCGCAAGTGGTGAGGAGTGGGATGAATCGGCAAGATTCCCAAGGGTGACTCTATGTGATTTTAAGATTCGTAAACTCGCTACACTCCAACAGTACACAGTACAATGTGTACTACCAATAAATCTTTTTAATGAGAAGATTTTCATTTTTATCTGGTTCTGGCTAGTTTTTGTGTCTGTTTTAAGTTCGGCAAATTTCTTAGTATGGTGTTACACTATGATATTTAGACAACACCGAATTCGTTATTTGAAAAAATTTCTCAGGATTAATGAATGTTACAAATCAGAATTAGACAAGAAAATGGCCGTCAAATTCGCAGAGCAGTATTTGCGACAAGATGGTATATTTGTTTTGAGACTTGTAGGTAAAAATGCTAACGATGTTTTAGTGTCAGAAATAGTTTTACAACTATGGAACCATTATAGAAACAAACCATTATTTAAACATGCAAATCAGGTCAGCGATGACAATAGTAATGTCTGACTAACCGCACAAAAACTACTGAAACTTGTTAAAATCCAGTATTATGCATTTGATGATGGAGAAGGTTCACAAGGTCAGAGAGTTTCCGATATTTTACTATCAGATGATCTCAACCTTCCGAATGGTGGTATCAGCCAATCATCTTTTGAAACCGAGGTTTAAACATTTAGCGCAGACGCAGACTCAAAGTCTCTGAAGAACAGTGTTTTAACATTGCATTCATTTAATTCATAACATAAAATGCATGTTTCATATTAATTAGAATCACCGTCCAATTTAGCGAAGAGCGACAGTAACAGGAGAGGGTCTGGAAGTAAATTTAGATTTTAAAGAATAATGGGGTGTTAGAATATAAAGAACAGAAAATAATTAAAAAAATTTAGATAAAACAGATAAAAATATGGCCTAAAAATCAAAGAAAACACAAATAAAGACCTCCCATCCAACCTTTCCGGATCCTCATAGAATGTGAAAGGTGATGTATACACATTTCTGGAAATTGTTTCGTTATTTCCAACCTACGGTGCTACTGTATTTCAAGAGACTAGTCACGTGACAGCTGTTTGTGTTAGATTATTATGGACTTGATGGTGGATATTGCATATTATGCAAGTACTTATTTTGCAGTTGTGTTTTCATATTTTATTATGTTAAGTGTATATTTCAATTGTAACATGTAAATAGTAAACATCAGATAGAATACCATTAGTTTTTAGAATTATATATGTTTGTGTTATGTATGTGAAGAATGTAAAATTGGATGAAAATAATAGATTTTAGTTAAATTTTACCGTGGAACTACATTTTATACTTTCCTCAACAAACGTAGATTCTTGAAAAAATAGACCACCTTAAAACATTCAATTTTATTAACAATTAAAACTTCAATATTATTACACATAGCGCAATTTCCTTGTACAGATTGTGGGCACCAAATGAATAATGTTAAACATTTCTAGCCACTGATTGACTACTTATAAGCGCTACTTATATGAGCTACTTTAAGATAAGAGAAAGAAAGGAAAGATTGATTAAAGAAATAATTGAATTATCTAGAATGTGATTTTTTTCTGTTAACCAGTTTTCTTTCAACTGGCTTTACAACAGCGTTGAAAACTAATTGCTTTTCAAATCGTATTGTTCAAGTGGAACACTGTCATATATTAGTTCGCAAACTTTTACTTCTCTTTAAAAATAAAGGAAATTTGGGGAAAAACACAATACCGTTGGAAAAAATCACGAAAAGACAAAATATAGTCTACAAAACACTACATAGGAAACTAAAAACTGAGCAACACCACCAAAACATGGGGTGATTTCAGGTGCTTCGGAAGGGTGAGCAGATGATGCTCCACATGTGGCTCTCATCATGTTGCTTATGGCAAGTTCAAATTCAGTAATAAGTCTAACTCGGTGATATCACAATCGAGGAAAAGAGGATGGGGTGTGGCTACTACAAAGGGAACATATCCTGGATCATTTGTGACACAGATATTCCGTAATGGTCAACCAAATCATAGTGGCGTCCGTAAAATGTTCCGAAGGGAAAGATGGAACCCAATCCTCTCAGCTGAAACCAAATCCTCTCAGGTGAACCCAATCCTCTCAGGTGAACCAAATGCATTCATGTAGGTTAACCATCTGACTGTGTTCCACTTTAACAATATGATTTCTTAAGTATCATCATTATTATCATATTTTATATACTATAACACTGTTGTAAGGTTCGAAAAGCATTGCCAGGTTGAAGGAAAATTTGTGAACAAGAAGAAATGTTTCTACTGTGAGTTCATAATGTAGTTTTGTTATGGATTTTTGACTAAAAAGATTTTGTAAATCATAATTTCTTAAAGGATAACATTGTGTACCTTCCACGGGTAACATTAACATAGTAGCTGACGAATCGATTTTTTAATGTGATTTGAGTATGATGCCTTAGGTATCTGATCGACGTCCTCTTCTTAACTATGTGTATAACTAATCATTAAATTATAAATAAAAGAAAACATGTTTGCGACCCCTGAACAAAGTAAACGTTATGTGAATTTAAACCTCATAAGGAGATATGGCATATCTTTGTATTCATTCCATTTAATGTGCCTTTTCTCTGACAACAATGAAATAGAATCATACATTACATATTTGAAAGAAATGCTCATTGCAATTGAACGATTAATATTTTATCATAAAATCTTAAAATGATTATCACAAAAATGCACATTTAAGTCAAAACCAAGATATACAAGATTCAGGCTTTTAAACTTTTACTATGTGCTTCGAACAAAGCCAGAAAGGGGAACTTTTTGTATAAAATATAATGCAAATGTTTTTCATATTACATATTTTATCTTGAAATAGTCGTCACGTGCACAAAAAGCATATTTAATTCAAAAAAATTACACATTTACTTTTACAATGATCGTCGAACAACCAGATTGGTGAATGTAGGTTTTCGAAAAACAATGCAGTGCAAATATGTATTTCATATTTTATTCTGAATGAGTACCTATTTGCAGATGACAAAATTTGACATAGTACACATACTGTCTTAAAATTTACCTTTTATTACTACAATAACGTGTTCAAAATCAATTTGAATCGATTTTTTTTAATTATGAATTGATGAGCTTAAATAGAAAATATTGCATTTGTGTTAACCTTATATATTATTAGCATCATTCGGACGATATATTATCAAAGAATATCATATTACAATACCGAAGATTTACTTTTTTATAAAATTCTAAATATTCGAAATAAAAAAAATCAATTGGAATAAATTTACATATCTTATTTAACACATATACACAGTAGTATGTATTCATTTTGTCAACTGCAATTTGAGCTTAAGTACTAGTACTCGTTTTCAAAGAGATTTAGTTTATGTTTGTTCTAAAAAATTATAGCAAATAGTGGTCGTATTTTATCACATCATATAAAACCCTTTTTTTAAATTAAGAAGATAACCTTCATAACTCATTTTTTCCATTTGGAACACTTTTCGAATAATCTGCCAAAAACGTAATATGTTTGCCAAATAATGTTATGATTGTCAAATTAGTTCTCATCAAACGACCACGATAAAGCATAAACTATCATGAGTGAATCGCAATACGGCATACAATAGTATTGGGTCATATTTGTAAATATCCATTAAACCATTTTATGTTAAAGGAAACAGTTAAGAAACAAATAAAATAAAAATATATGACTTTAAGCTACTTTGTGAAATTGAACCCTTTAAATTACAGATAGCTTGTGTAAAATAATTTATATCAATCGTTATTTTTCTAATTTACTATATTTTTTCTTACTTTCCCATTTCAAACGAAAACCTTAAAAGAAGGCAAAATAGTTTCTCTTTGATATAAATGTATGCAATGGAAAACTGTCTTTGTTATAAAGAAAATTCTGATTGGGTAAAATGATTGCAGAAAAAAACACGGCGATTATTGGAGTTTTTACAAATTTTTTTTTAAGTTCTTAAAAATAATATTTAAAAATAAGAAGAAATTTCAGGATGCTTCAAACTTCTAATATATATTAAAAATCTTTTACTTCCGGAAAAATGTATGTTTTTGTAAGAATGAAAAAAATAGCCGGATTTTTTTTCTTCAAATGTACAATCTAGATTCAAATTGTGTAATTCTTTCTTTCAAGATATAGCTTTTTAATTTGAAGTAACAAATCGTACAGTTTGTGTTTCATTTATTGTTTCACTTCATCTAGCTTGAGCAGGTGTGTTGAGCTTAAACCCATTATAATCTGTTAAAAATAAACTGTACTTCGACATTGTTACACATAAGTTTAGTCGAACCCTTTAAAGACTTAATAGAATTTGTTTTTCTATGTATACTTAAGTATGCTTGTGTTAACTGTTTAAGCAATATTCATTGTAATTGTTAAACAAGACATTAATAGTGTACTCGGAAAATGATCTAACGATAAGCATTTGCCATTTTTTAATCTGATGCATTCTAGGAAATATTATTAAACGCGTAAAAACGTTGTGATTTGTTAAGAACGCCTTTAACCATTGTGATTCAAAAAATAACATGACGTTTTGGGGTTGTGTGTTTTGGGTAGGAAGGTACGAACATTCAAATTTCCTTGTCATTTATATTATTATCGATATAATTTAACTTGGGTTTCAACTAACTGATAAAGCAACTTTCATATTTCAAAAACTATTCAAGTTTGCTAGTGTATTTTCGAAAGGGGGCTTTTTTGTTTTATAGAATGGGCATTCCTATGCACAATTATCTAGACACTTATTTCGAATATAATACTATGGGAAGTTCAAACGTATAGGAAATGCTATTCACACAATTCCTATTAAACACAACAGATTTTTTTTTCAATCTTAGCATAGAGTGAATTTCTAGTCTATACATTTGAATATATTGTGAATTTGTATTTAGCATTTTTTGCATGTAAATATTTGTACAAATCATGATTTTTATACAAATCGGATAAACTCATTGTAGTAAGCACACAGCTGTGATCATTCCTAATTTTGTTTTCACAAGATCATATTTGTATTCGTATTATGTAACCAGTGAAAAAATGTTTTTATTTATTAGATTTATTTATTATGCAAAGGTTCTAGTTTATCATTAAAACTTTTTCTATTACCATTAACAATAATCTACTTTTCATTGTAAAAATACTATAGATAGAAAATTAACATTTTGCAGTAAATATGTATCTTATAACGAAGAAATGGTGGCTAAAAGAAATAATACAATAGCATACCACGTGATATATAAAAAGACCAGGATGTAACATGTCTTTGATAACCAACCGATCCTTCGCTTACGTCCTCGACAAGCAAGACACCAATGTGTATCTCATGGGTTGTATCTTACTGTTGACAATCGGCGTATGTGGATACGTCCTTACGTTTATTCGCCGTTTCAGAATCTAATGCATTCTGGGTAATATTTTCATAAGTGTACACCAAAACGTCGTGATTGGTTAGAAATGTCCTAAACAATGGAAATTTAACCAATGACGTAACGTTATTTTCATTTTGGGGTACGAACAATAGAATTACCCATAGTCTTTTAGATTCTAAAATGGCTAATTGGTTTAAATATTTAGTATGCATGCCAAAACATGACAAAATCTAAAAGGCCGACTCGTAGCGATTAACATTTTTTTTGGTTGCATGGAATTCAAAAATTTAAATATCATCAATAATACGATTTCATTACAATATCATCACAAGATTCAGGCTCAATCGTGATATAATACAAAACCATTTTATAGTGTTTAAATTACATTAAACGTTTTACGCCATTAAATTATTCAACAATTATTGCTCTCAAATTCTCAAAAACAAACGTAATAGGCAAAATTAAGTTATCATTGAAACGTTTACGCTCTTTATTAAATTTTCTCCTTTAACATGAATCTATTCGAAATGTGAAATAATTTTGACTTGAATCTAAATCTTTATTGTTATGTGTGTTAATGAAAAAAGTTCTAAAACATAAGGAGTAAGTGCAAAATGGAAAACTGGTTTCTTGGTTTTGATTTTGAATAATCACATGAGAAAAAAAGGAAGTCTTTTATTTAAAATTACCGATTTAAATCAACATTTATAATTTTACACTAATGCTGAAATAATTATAAGAATAAATCATTATTACAAGTAGTGGAAGCGTACCAAATAGCGTAACATGTCAGATATGGAGTTGATAAGCAATACATTATAAAATTTCATGTGATTTGTGAATAATAATTTGATCTAAACAGACGTTGAAAGCTGAGTAGGATATTGACATTTAAGAACGCTTTGTGTATGCGCTCTATAAAGATATCTTCTATCTTTTTATTTTTTTTTTTTGGGGGGGGGGGGGGGCCGGGTTGGAGGGGGTCGTAAAAGTCATTCATATTTTTTTTGTTCTCTAAATTTTTTATTAATCTTTTCACCTTTTTTAAAGAAGGGAGGGTACTACACTCGTTTTAGTTGTCTTCGAATCCTTAAAACACCAATTGTAGACACTCTAATACCAAAAATGTACTTGTTGCTTGTCTGCAGCTGTGAGTATTTTTACAAATCATTTTTGTCATTAAGATAATTAATATGTGTCTTATTAGCTATTTTCATTCCGATGACAAATCATCCAAAGAACCAAATCATATTCAGGTCGATGTAATCATTTGGAAGTATGAAATTTTAATATAAATTCTACTATACTTCTCATTAATAGGTACTAAATGTCATATTCAAAGTGTCTTCAACTACTTTCAGTTAAAAGAAGAACATTTAAGAACTGACTTGATCCGCTATCAATATTAGTTGAAGAGGGTATGTTTAGGAAGAGTGAGTAAGCACCTTTGTGGTATGCTGTTAGGTGCCCTGAATGTGTCCATATTTTTGTCACTTTGGTCTATGGATATTCTCAATCATGCCACATATCCTTATGCTTATAAACATGGTACAACAAAAAAGCAGAGATAGTTTGGTTTCGTTTCATTAAGTTACTGGTACAGCGGGAAAATATGAAATCAGTTTTTGAAAATCCCTTTGATCTTAAGGGATATTTGTTCTTATATTTTACATGGCTTATATTGTAGTTACAAGGGTTATGTCCCTTTATAAATGCATTCCATGTCATCTTTAGTCCTATCAATTTACAGACATTCCAAAAAAACAAGGCTGACTTTTTTTATTTGTGTTCATATTACATAGTCAAACTGTGATCGTATTACTGTTTTTTCATCATGTATCTTCCCTATCTGGCTTTTTATAAATAACTGCATTCAATTTTGGGGATATGGGAAAAATCGTGTCATGGAAGTACGTGTATATAATATATCAAACAGTTTTTGGCAAAATTGAACATTTAAAATTATGTTAAAGGAAAATTTGAAAATTTTAATGAATATAAAAGATACCAGATATTTACCATCACTTTAAATTCTATTTTCTCAGAAAGATTTGAACTTAATATCAATGGGAACATATGATTCGCGTTAATATGTATTCAAAGTCAATATTTTATAGCCACCCCACCTCTCCCTTAAACCAAAAATCTAAGTATTAATTGGTTTAAACTAAAAAAATTGTATTTAAGATGTATATAATGTCTTTATTATTTTAAGTGGATAATTTTCAGCTTTTTCACAAATATAAAAAGTAAATTTTCATAATTTTCATAACCTGTAGCATCGTAATTGAGTAAAATTTGTTGAATAAACTATGCACATACAACTTGTATTCTTATTTTTAACACACATATCATCGAGTTTAAACATGAATAGACCAACGTTTGTTAGCAATGGAGAAAGATGTACTCAAGTTCACTATCTTACTTTAATGGGGTTCTTGTTGTTCAATTTGTATTTTCTATATGATATTTTGTGTATGTCTTTCGTTTTTTGTGGGTTTTTTTTTGCCATGGTACTATACACAGTCAAAACGTCTGCTTAAAGTTAACTTTTATACACGTTATGACCGCACCCACCTGTATCTATTCCACGACTTTTATATATCATTTCCATGTCGAGAAAGTTTTTAAACAATTATAGATAATTGTTTTGTGAAACAAATGAGTAATGGTCAGTCATCCGTTACGTTCTTCAAAGTATTTTTTTACTATGCATATTCGCGTCATGAACAAAGTAAGGTTATTTGAAAAAGATAGGCGAAAGATACCAAAGGGACTTTCAAACTCATTAGTCGAAAATGAACTGACAACACCATGCCAAAAAAAGAAAAAAGACCAATAGACAAACAACAGTTCACAAAACACAACATAGAAAACTATACACTTAGTAACACGAAATCCACAAAAAACAAGGTAGAAAGTAGATCCTATTAACAGCTATGGATTAAACAATGTGTATGCGATACTGTACAAAAAGGTTGAGTATTGTTACATATATATGAAATCTTAAATCGAAAGAGGGTAACAGATCATACTGAATCATCACTCTTGCATGCTAAAAAGATTAAATTACAATTCACATACACATACACACACAACAGTAAAACAAACTTTATTCAAAAGTTATGAATTAATCCAGGTTTCTTAAGGCTGACGTTTCGTTATCTATGCATGGCACCTGGTAAGAATCGTTTTTAGATTAAGGTTCATGTGGACCCTTTGACTAAAATGGCTGCATTTTACCTCAAAATTTACTATTAAGTACAGACAAACCTGGGTATCTGGAAAATTTTTAAGGCATAGGATGCTCTAGATAAATAAAATTCAAATATATTTTCTCTTTTCATTCCTCTAGAAGGTGCCAAAATAAACAAAGTTGGGAAAGAGGTTTGAGCACTTCCCCCCCCCCCCCCCCCCCCAGGTAATAATTGAAGTAAACTGTATTGATTGACATGGACAATAGATACCCGACTATAATTTGTGATTTAAACTGTGTACCTGAGTGGACTATATCAAGTGAAACTCAACTGTTTGTTAATTTTATCATCTTCTGCAGGGACTAAAAAAGGCCCACAGATGAAACTCAGCCATTTTAACACTCACAAAACAACAAAATTCTATCAAACATAAAACACAGGGACTACGAGTAGGACAACCACAATACCGCTGCTATAACATTAAAGGGACAAGTGTTAATGCGCCAGAACAACTAATGTCTCTTCAGAAATTTCCGATGCCAAAGAGAGGCGAAAGATACCAGACAGATATTTAAACTCATAAGTCGAAACGAAATAACAATGCCAAAATTCAAAACCAAGTACAAACGTTGAAGAGTTGATAAAACAAAAGTATAGCGAAGGAATTCCGTATTATCAAGCCAGTACCAAAGTACCTGCTGCATTTCAAGTTTTCATCATCAGTGACCATTTCATCAGATGTGAAGGTCTTCAGTTTTATTATATTTCACCCTTTTTTCCCGTAAATACTGGTGGGTTTCGTTTAAAATGCCGAGAACATATGAACAGGAATATGGAACAGGCACTAGTTGCAAAAACTTTCCAGGCCTTCTCCCAATCCTTATATGTAAATCATAAATATAAGTAAACAAGGTTGTTTTACCATTTTTAAGATCACTTACCACAAAAATACATCTGAATTTACCCCCAAAAAAAGTCTGTCAGCTAAATTATACTTACTATTTTCCACATTTAACGGTTAGAAACAAAATTAAAAATAAAATAAAATAAAATAAAAGTCATAAGTCGGAGACAAACTGACAACGCCATGGGAAAAACGACTAACAAACAAAACAGTCTACAAACCACTACATAGAAATCTAAAGACTCAGTAACACTAAACCAAGCAACATACGGGTATATATTAATTCCCTACCAACCCAAGCAACACACGGGTATATATTAATTCCCTACCAACCCAAGCAGCATACGGGTATATATTAATTCCCTACCAACCCAAGCAACATACGGGTATATATTAATTCCATACCAACCCAAGCAACACACGGGTATATATTAATTCCCTACCAACCCAAGCAACATACGGGTATATATTAATTCCCTACCAACCCAAGCAACATACGGGTATATATTAATTCCCTACTATAAAGTTGTCACGTCATTGTGGTTTACCCATTCCCCTTTGTACCGAACTCCAATGTTAATCTAAAAATGGGGAAGTCCTTAAAATCTGTCAAAATCAAACGCTCGATTATATCAACCAAGGGAACGAATGGAAATCAATTGTCATTACCTGACTTAGTACAGTCGTTACTGTTACAGATGAAACAGTTGCCTACACATTATTGTCGTCGTGCCTACAGATATTGATTATTTTATTTCGTTATTAAACAGAGCTAGAATTTCATTTTGGATTACAAACCTACCTTGAACAGAGTCAATGCCCTTGGACTAGTAATTTAGTTCAAGGTGTCATATAAGGTTTCTTGTTTCTTTTGAATGTATACTAGTCGTTGTCACTAGTGGAGAAGAAACAATTCCAAAGTAACTAAATTCACGTCCGATATTGCGATGCGTTCGTGTTGTTCAGTCTTTAGCCTCTTTTGTATAGTGTTCTGTAGACTGTTGTTTGTAAGCGCGTCCCTTTTCCTTTTGCTAAGGTGTGACTAATGGCTTTCGATTGGCCTTTTAGTATAATTAAACTCATCATAGATACCAGGATTAAAATGTTGTACGCAAGACGCGCGTTTCGTCTTCGAAAGACTCATCAGTGACGCTCGAATCAAAAAAGTTAAAAAGGTCAAATAATAGAATTTTTTTCCCTTTTTTGTCTAGAGTCAGACCGATTTAAATATTGTCATATTGATTTGACGAGTGTCAATCGTTGAAGGTAAAGTAGTGATTTGAATGTCTTATTGACGTAAACAACGCCCATCTCTTTTTTTCCCTTTATATCACAAGATCCTCAAATTTCAAATATTTCTATTTTTTTTAATTTCAATACGAATAAGATACTTGAATCATATTTGTTCAGACTAAAGTTACATTAGGTGTCTTTATGATTATTTGCGTACTGAAAATGTATTGTTAAACCAGCATAATTGTCTGCCTACCTAAACACTAGTATATATAAGAGACAAACAAAAAGAAAACAACACTTTATAAACCTCATGCGTCCGAAGCACTGTTTCGGATTTACCTTCACCAAGTATGTGTTTCCTGATAAGCATGCATCATCGACAATGTGACTCCATACAGACAAACTTTTTTTTGGGTGTTATGAATTCTGGTTGTGATTGTATGAACGTCACTTTTTAAGCTTCAAGGTCATCAAAAACTAAATTAGTTGCCCGATGTGATAGTACCAGTGGATAAGAAACTGGTCACTTTTCTGGGTACTCTGAGTTCCCCCGACGTTCGTTGTGGACTGGTATTGATCATCCTTTAATTTCTAGGAAATGACTAAAGAATTATTTT